TGGATGTCCCACACCGCAGCCCATTCCATCGTATTGTGTAAGGAACGAGTTGAGGCGTGGTGAACATCTCCATTAGTTTCCTCACGATAAACGCCGTATACCTTGATGTCATCAGCGTGCATATGCACATTGATCATGGTATGAGTGGACAGTCCAAAAGGCATGTACGTCAAATATAAGAGGGGGATAGCTACCCACCTAGCAGAACACCAACTTTGCACAAAAACAGCTTTGAAAAAGTACTTCCAACTTTGACACATGAAACTTTTGCTTAATTGAGAGATTGAGAAATTGATTGAGAAATCTAACTAAGGAAGGTTACTCTGAGGATATCTTCTGTTAGGGTACATAACGGTGTGTGTAACCGAAGTTTTCGAGGCTCAGCAGTAAAAACACTGCATCGTGTTATTCGTTCCAGAACCATTTTCCCCATACCCCCACTTTTGAGACTGTGCTTTATTTTGATACTTACTCTCAAGGGGTGTTCGACTCTAGGGGCACCATAGACTGGCGGAGACTACCGCCAGTCTATGGTGCCCCTAGAACCGAAAAAAACCTAAACATAATTGAAATACAAGAATTTACATCTTTACCAAATATAGTGTCAAAAACCTTCGAAGTTGGTGATGACGACGTATCAAGAATTCACAAAGTCGAATGAATGTCAATAAATCATAGTTTCTTCATGCCCAGAAAACCTGTTTTCGCTAAATAGTTTCTTCGCGAGCTAACTCATAATGGAATGAGTAATCTTTACTTTCTCAAAAATGTCATAGATGACATTCCGCTGAGCAACACTTCACTTATTCTCGAATTATTTAATTGATGTCGCTGTGAACATCTCTTCAAAGACGAAACTGCTTAAATGACAACGTTCTCTAGGTGCGAGTGTAATCCGAAATAGGATCAGTCAGTGCAGTTGGTGCAGATCAGATCAAGCTTTGCTGAAATATTGGTAGAAAATTGGTCGTCCTGCACAAAATGGACAACGTACCGCTGGAAGAAATGCTCGTTGTTTGATACGCCATCGTGTATGAAGAGAAGCTTCTTCAGAGCTTCTAAAAGATGACGATGGAAACAACGAACTTCTAAAAAATTTATGCTTTCGATGCGAGGGCGTGATTCAAAATCTAAAAGTTCTTCACTTATGATTACAGGAGCAGTAGACTCTCCTAGAAGGGTAGCAACACTGATGTCGTACTCCGGCAAACGGAGAAGGTTCCGTCACTATGATGTGGATTAGAATAAAGACGATTTGCCTTTGCAATTTAAGTATATATTCAATATGTTAACAAAACCCTTCCACTATTTCGAACACGAGTAGACAAACAGTTCCATCCCTCATCAATCATTTACCGGCAGTGTATTATGAACAAAAAATCGTTCTTAGTCAACGATTGAGAACTACAAAAGGGTCGTTCTGGGCGTTGCAGCGACA